CGAAAATAGGGTAAGCGGGGTTTTCCCGCTCTTTTTACCAATAATTATTTTATTTCTACATTTACTTTTCTATTTTATTAAAAAAATGCGGTTCATTTTCTTTGTCAATTTTTATTTTATTTTCCCCATTTCCTTTTACTTTTTCCTTTTATTAGTACATTATGCAAATTTTGTTTGAAATGGACAAATGGTTCTTTCTTATATGTGATAATCTTATAGACATGAATATGTGTTTGTAATATACATCTGTATTTTCTCTGAAATACCTAATCATTTTTTTGGTACTCATGAATATTTGCTTTGGAACGCACTAATGTTTTAGTAAATATTGGTATCCGAGTTTTGCGATTTCTACTGGAACATTTTGCCCTAGTACCTTGATCATTTTTCCTGAGATACATGAATAGTGAACAGACAAACAAGTGAATTTTTTTGTTGACCTATGAAAGTTCTTATGATTGAAACAAAATATAAGAAAACTCTTAATTCCTTAATATAGAAGATTCATATTTTTGAATGAAATAACATGTTTTAATGGGCCACACCTGCAGCTTGTTTCATTTTCTTCTGGGGGTGGTAAGCTCTGTCTCCCAGTGAATCATATTCCCAACGCGGGACGGGGGATAGAGACAAAACACGCACCCCCGCCCGCGGTAATGGACTCGCTTGTTCGTTTGTTCTACGTTTTTTGCTCCCCCCACCCCCACCAGTTTTGGGAAGTACCATGAACTGTTTTCTTTCATTTGGTTTTCTTCGTTTTTTCATTTCCCCCCTTTTCCTATTTGTTTTCATTTTGTGAAATATTTTTTAATTCGTGAACCGTTTTCAGATTCGTGAATATTTTTGAAATCCAAGAGCTTTCTACAAGTTCAAGAATTTTTTAAACATCCGGGAGCATTTTTAAATTTTAGAATAAATTTTCAAGTTAATGAACCTTTTTTGAAATTTGGATCATTTTTCAATTCAGGAATTATTTTCAAATATCCAGGAATACTTTTCAAATTTATGATTTTTTCGAAATTTCTGAACATTTTCTGAAATCTGGGAATATCCTTCAAGTTTGTTAACATTTTTGAAAGCTCAAAACATTTGTGGAATTTAATGAACATTTTTTGAAATTAATGATTTTATTTTTGAAATGTGCGAACATTTTTATATTTTCTAAACATTTATTGGATTTTTCATATTTCTTTTATATTCATGAATATTCTTTGAAATTTAGAACATTTTATAAAATATAGGAACATCTTTTCAAATTCATGAACATATTTTGATATTTGGAAGTTTTTTTTGATATCCAGGGACTATTTTCAAATTATGTGAACATTTTTCAAAATCATAAGCATCTTTCATACTGATAACTATTTTTTGGAATTTGCATTTTTTTAATTCCAGATCATTCTTTGAATTTTTATATTTTTTTGGAATCCATAAAGAATATTTTTTGAAATTTGAATTTTTTTCAAATGTGTGAACTTTTTTGGAATTTCTATTTTTTAGAATTCAGAAAAGTTAATTCCGTGAAGATTTTTCCAAATTCATAATTTTTTGATTTTTTTAAACATTTTTGGAATTCTGAATATTTGGATTTATAAACGTTTTTCAATGTTAAAGATAAAATAATATGAAAAGAAACAAAAAAAGCGGTGTGGCCCGCCCTGCGCATGGGCCGGCCCAAAAAGGCACGGGACAAGTGGGTGCGCAATTGCACGCAGTCCGCCATGTACCGCGGGAAGTAGGAGCTCTCCTTCGCCCGTTGATAGCAAATTTGTACGAAATGAGTTAGGCTTATTCAGTGGTTCAAATTTCGAGCTCGATTTCATGCGTCTATGCGCCTAGCTTGGGATGCAGTTGGACCCCGGTATCTTTGAGTTTTGGAATCTACAGCGGGAAATAATATTCTATAACCAACCTTCGGGTCATGTTGATCAGCCTGCTTGGGTAGAGTCGTATAGCCCCTAAGGCCTAAACGCCTAAAACAACTCCGAAAATATAAATGAGTGCAACAGGTGAACATACGTGATCATTCTATATTACTTATTGCACTGTATGGTAAAAGTTGTGCCTATGCATCAAGTCATATTGCTTAGAGCACTCCTAATGGTTGTATTTTAGTATGGCTCCACAGGTAAAAATTTAATGTGACACCCTATTTAATGAGAATATATATAGCGACTATATCTTAATTTAGATATAGATCTTAGCATCGAGTACAAAATATCTCACAAGTTTTCACTCACAAAAGGCATTAAATAAGAATTGTTTTAGATACTCCCACCGTCGAGGCGCATTAGGAGCATAATGCACAAGGAAGTAGTACACCACTAATATATATGTGGCTGGTATATCTAAACATATACTCCCTCTCTACCAAAATACTCTATATAAGACATTGTTGCAGTTAAACTAAACTGCAAGAACATCTTTAATTTTAGTACGCACGGAGTATTTTATGTTATTAGATATAAAAAGATATAGTGCATTAAGACTGCCCTCATATATTTCACTTTCACAAGCTACTAAACTATTACTCCATCCGTTTTTATTTACTCCGCATATTAGTTTTTGTCAAAGTCAAGCTTTATAAACTTTGACAAAGTTAATACATCAAAATATTAGCATATACAATAATAAATCAATACCATGAGATTCATTATTGAATGTACTTTCACATCATACAGATTTATTATGATAGATATTTATATTCTTTTCTATAAACTTGATCAAACTATACGAATTTGACTTCATCAACTCTAATATGCAGACTAAATAAAACAGAGAGAGTATTTTTTAATCAAAAGCAACCAAATTTAGATATACTCCCTCTGTCCCAGAATATAAGAACGTTACTAGCCATAGTGGGTATGTTACTAGTCTGTATTACTACCTCTATAGTGGGGGAGTAACAAATGTGTTGGGTCATACAACACTTCATTTACCACATGGGACATGTGGTTAGCAAACTCAAAAATTCATATACAACACTTCATTTATTAGCGTATAAACTCATCTTGTCTTGATATGTGTGATGTTGAGTGTAACTAAGGCTAGTCATAGTGGGAGTAACTTAGGTATTAACATAGCGCACCTCGAGAATTTTTTACTTATGTGGCAAGTAGTTAATGAGAAGTAGTAACATAGCGCTTTTCAAGACAACATGAGTCTACAAGCTATTAAATGAGGTCACATATGACACTAGTACTATGTTATTTTGCACTATGAAGGTAGTAATTTAGACGAGTGTCATGCATATGGCACTAGTCTAAATTACTCCCCACTATGACCAGCCTAACTATGTTACTCAATTCATCTCTCTCCTCATAAAATCATTGTCATATAAACAAATTTGCTGAGTTAAAACTTATGTAGCTGCTGAATTTACTCATGTGGGTAGTCTTACTACTCCGGCACTTTCGAGTGAGCGTGATTTCCAGTAACTTTTCAAGAAACAAATGCATCCCCTAAACTGAGGCTGTAGTAATTAAACTTTTCAACGCTCCCGCAAGAACCGCTGCTGCAGTTTCGCGCCTGAAACAACGCAATCCCGACGGTTGTGTTCTTGGACCAAACGCGCGGCGGTGCTCGAATTCGCGATGCGCGATCGCCACATCGCGCACTGGCCAGCACTCAGCTAAACGTTCCTCATCTCAAAAAAGAAAAAAAAGGCTAAACATTCCAAGTTTAGGTGAGCTTGCTCAGTCCCCAATGGATCCGGGCTTGCAGGGTGCGGACTGAGAGGGCAGGGACGAGTGTTGCGCGCCCGCTGCCTCCTATATAAGCCACTCCCTGTCCTCTCGCTGATGTACAGTACACACCCAAGACATCCCAAGCTCGATCGGCTACAATGGCCAACTCGAGGGCCTTCGCTCTGGCGTTCCTCCTCTGCGCCTTGTCCTGCCACGCCGCCGCCTCCTACGCGCCGGTGCCGGCCAAGGACGACTTCTTCGGATGCCTCGTGAAGGAGATACCGGCGCGCCTCCTCTACGCCAAGAGCTCGCCTGCCTTCCCCACCGTCCTGGCGCAGACCATCCGGAACTCGCGGTGGTCGTCGCCGCAGAACGTGAAGCCGCTCTACATCATCACCCCCACCAACGCCTCCCACATCCAGTCCGCGGTGGTGTGCGGCCGCCGGCACAGCATCCGCCTCCGCGTGCGGAGCGGCGGCCACGACTACGAGGGCCTGTCGTACCGGTCCGAGAAACCCGAGAGGTTCGCCGTCGTCGACCTCAACAAGATGCGGACAGTGTCGGTCGACGGCTACGCCCGCACGGCGTGGGTCGACTCCGGCGCGCAGCTCGGCGAGCTCTACTACGCCATCGCCAAGAACAGCCTCGTGCTCGCGTTCCCGGCCGGCGTCTGCCCGACCATCGGCGTCGGCGGTAACTTCGCAGGCGGCGGCTTCGGCATGCTGCTGCGCAAGTACGGCATCGCCGCCGAGAACGTCATCGACGTCAAGGTGGTCGACGCCAGCGGCAAGCTGCTTGACAAGAGCTCCATGAGCGCGGACCACTTCTGGGCCGTCAGGGGCGGCGGCGGAGAGAGCTTCGGCATCGTCGTGTCGTGGCAGGTGAAGCTCCTGCCGGTGCCTCCTACCGTGACCGTGTTCAAGATCCCCAAGACAGTGAATCAAGGCGCCATAGACCTCATCGACAAGTGGCAACTGGTCGCGCCGGCCCTTCCCGCCGACCTCATGATCCGCGTCCTCGCTATGGGGGACACCGCGACGTTCGAGGCCATGTACCTGGGCACCTGCAAAACCCTGACGCCGCTGATGAGCAGCAAATTCCCCGAGCTTGGCATGAACTCCTCGCACTGCAACGAGATGCCCTGGATCAAGACCATCCCCTTCATCCACCTTGGCCACCCTGGTCGACCTCCTCAACCGGAACAACAGCTTCAAACCCTTCGCCGAATACAAGTCGGACTACGTCTACCAGCCCGTCCCCAAGCCCGTGTGGGCGCAGATCCTATACGGCTGGCTCGTGAAGCCCGGCGCGGGGATGATGGTCATGGACCCCTACGGTGCCACCATCAGCGCCACCCCCGAAGCGGCGACGCCGTTCCCTCACCGCAAGGGCGTCCTCTTCAACATCCAGTACGTTAGCTACTGGTTCGCCGAAGCAGGCGGCGCGGCGGCGCTGCAGTGGAGCAAGGACATGTACAAGTTCATGGAGCCTTACGTGAGCAAGAACCCCAGGCAGGCATACGCCAACTACAGGGACATCGACCTCGGCAGGAACGAGGTGGTGAACGACATCTCAACCTACAGCAGTGGCAAGATCTGGGGTGAGAAATACTTCAAGGGTAACTTTCAAAGGCTCGCCATTACCAAGGGCAAGGTGGATCCCCAGGACTACTTCAGGAACGAGCAGAGCATCCCGCCGCTGGTGGGGAAGTACTGATTGAGGCTCTTGCATGGACATTTGTAGTGCGTGGTTGGCGTTTCAAATACCCAATCAGTAGAATAAGGATCGCGCATATGCTAATTAGTTGGAAGAGTTGCCTACCTTTAGGTGTTGGTTCTAATGGCGAAAATTAGCAAAGAATATAGGTGAAAGACATTTGTTTTTGAGTCTGTCTAGGGCACATCTAGATTCGCTAGCGAGCTTTGCTACATCTACAGGCCATTTCGCACGGAAAGAAAGTTACGGACTGACATGGCCCAGTTAAAATCAAAAGGTGGGGTCAGCTAAAATCAAGGTGGGATGAATTTGTGATGGAGAGGAGGACACATCTCCCTGTAAAATCAGTCCGTGGCACTCTTTCCGTAAGTGTAGAATTTTCGTTCGCTAGCTATTGCACATCTAAGTGACTCAATCAAATTAGGAAAAAAGAAAGAAAAAGATTAAAAAAATGCTTGCACAAATCTTAGCATAAAATCAATGACATATGACCTAGATGTGCAATACTTAGAGCACATCTAGATATGCTTTAG